CCAAACCAAAATAAAACAAACAAGCAACTTCAACAACACAGCTGGACATATTATTTTCAAACTGCAGAAAACCAAAAACAGAGAAAATATTGAAAGAAGCCAGAGCAAAACAAAGAAGTAGAGGAACAAAGATAATACTTATAGGGGACTTCTCAGCCACAAAAACAGTAAACTGAAATATTTAAAGTGTTGACAGAAAAGCCCACTAACCTAGAACCTTATATTCAATAAAATTAAACTTCAAAAGTAAAATAGATACAAGGCTTTTTCAGACAAACAAAAATAGAGAAAATTCATTACCAGCAGACCATCTCTGCAAGAAATGTAAGAAATTCTTTAGGCAGAAGGAAATTTATATAAGCCAGAAATTCAGATTTATGCAAAGAAAGGAATGTCTCAGAGAAGGAATAAATAAAAGAAGTAAAAAAAACTTTTAGTTTTCTTAGTCTTAATTGCTCTAATATATAACTGTTTACTAAGAGTAATATAATAGTTATAATATATTGGGTGATTATAGCATAGAGATAAATGAAATAATTGACAGGGATGTTATATAGAATGAGAGGGAGAAATTAGAAATACTGTGTTACAAGGTACTGGTATTATACAAGGTACCCATACTATACATGAATTGTGTAGTTTTATTTGAAGATAGATTTAAATTATTTAAAAATGTGTATTGGAATTTGAGGGCAATCACTAAAAGAATTAAGGAAATATAATTGATATTTTGAGAAAAGACTGCAGTTGACCATGGGTAACAGAAACCATGGAAAGTGAAACCATGAATAAAGAGAAACTACTGTACTCTCTTTTTTCCCTGGTTAAATTGATTAAAGATTTATCAATTTGTCTGATAACCAACCTTGGGTTTTGTTAATTTACTCTATTACTTTTTTTGTTTTTGATGTCACTGGCTGCTGCTCTAATTTTATTATTCTTTTCTTTTAAAATCCCCTTGATTTAGGTTTCAATTGCTCTTTCTCTAAGGTGGGAATTTGGGTTATTGATATGAATGTTTTATTCTTTTCTAAGATAAGTGTTTAGGGCTATAAGTTCTAAGCCAAGTTTTTTGTTGTAGTCCATGACTTTGATAAGTTATATTCATATTTAGTTCAAAATATTTCTTCACTTTCTCTTGAGACTTCTTATTTGACCCAGATGTTATTTTGAAATACGTTGGTTACTAATATTTTGGGATTTTTCCTGCTATCTTTCTGCCATTGATTCCTAGTTTAATTCCATTGTGGTCTGAAAATATACTTTGTATCATTTCTATCTTTATATTTGTTCAACTGTATTCTATGGCCAAGAATATAGTCTATCTTGCAGAATAGTTCATGAGAGCTTCAGAAGAATGTATATTCTGCTGTTAAATGGAATATTCATTCTATAAAAGTCAATATTCACTAGGACCAAGTGGAATTTATTCCTGATATTCAAGGTTGGTTCAATATTTGAAATCAATCTGTGTAATCAACAATATCAATAAGCTAAGGGAAAAATAATATGATCATATCAATTGATGGAGAAAAGGCATTTGACAAAATTCATCACCCATTCACAGTAAAAAAAAAAAAAATCTCAGCAAACTGGGAAGTGAAGGGAATTTCCTTACCTTGATAAAAAAAAAAAAATCTATGAAAAACCCACTGCTAACATCATGCTTAATGGTGAAAAACAGTATGGTTTCCTCCTAAGATTTGTAACAAGGACAGAATGTCTTCCCTTAGTATTCCTCTTTAACACCATACTAGAAATCCTACTAGTGCAATAAGATAAGAAAAGGAAATAAATTGTATATGAATCTCTAAGGAAGAAATCAAACTGTCTTAATTTGCAGATGATATTATTGTCTATGCAGAACATCCCAAAAAAACCTCCAGGAATGAATATGCCACTGTATCAGGGCCACAGGATTAATATATAAAAATAAATATATAGAAGTCAATTACTTTCAAACATTCCGTAAATGAAGTATTGGAATTTGAAATTTTAAAAAAGAACATCAACAATAGCACCAATGCCTCCATGAATATTTAAAAATAAATCTGACAAAATATGCACAAACCTATATGTCAAGCTACAAAACTCTAAAAGAAAAAAAATCAAAAGAACTAACAAAAGGAAAGATAGTATTTGATCATGGATCAGAAGACTCAATATTGTTAAGATGAAATTCTTCCCAACTTGATCTACAGATCCACACAATTCCAATCAAAATCGCAGCAAGCTATTTTTTTTGTATATTGAGAAATTGATTCTAAAATTTTCATGGAAAGGCAAATGATCTAGAATAGCCAGCACAATACCAAATATGAAGGAAAACAAAGTTGGAGGATTCACACTACCAAAATTCAAGACTTACTCTAAAGGTACAGTAATCAACACAGCATGGTATTAGCGAAAGAATAGACACATGGATCAGTGGAACACACTAGAGAGATCAGAAAAAGATCCACACAATTATACTCACCTGATCTTTGAATAAGAACAAAGGCAATTCAATGGAAAAATCATCTTTCTCAACAAATGATGCCAGAAGAGTTTGATGTCTATATACCAATAAAATTAGACACATACTTCAGATGTTTCACATAAATCAATGCAAAATGTATAAAATAAATATAAAATACAAAACTATAAAACTACTTGAAAAATATTAGATCTTGATGAATTTGAATGTTTAATACAACACCAAAGCATGATCCATGAATAAAAAATAAACTTGATGAGTTGTACTTTATTAAAAAGAAAATTTCCTTGGGCGCCTGGGTGGCTCAGATGGTTAAGCATCTGCCTTCGGCTCAGGTCATGATCCCAGGGTCCTGGGATCGAGTCCCGCATCGAGCTCCCTGCTCAGTGGGGAGCCTGCTTCTCCCTCTGCTTCTCTCTCTCTCTGTCTCTCATGAATAAATAAATAAAATCTTTAAAAAAAAAAAAAAAGAAAATTTCCTACTTTGCAAAAACTATTCTTGAGGGAATGAAAAGTCTCAATCTGGGAAAAAGTATTTGCAAACACACACCTGATAGAGGACTGTTATCCAAAATATATAAAGAATTCTTAAAACTCAGCAATAAGAAAACAGCGCAATTAAAAAATGATCAAAAGATCTAAACAGAAATCTCACTAAAAAGATCTGATTTGTGTTCCTCAGTTGTGACAAATGTGCCACTCTGGTGGCAATGTTGATAATGAGAGAGCCTCTGCATGTGTGGGGGGGACAGGGAGTATATAGGTTATCTCTGTACCTTCTGTTCAATTTTGCTGTGAACCTAAAGTTGCTCTAAAAAATAAAGTTTATTCAAAAATAAAAAACTGAAATGTACCTGAATAATCTCCTTTCCTTAACTACTCAGACAGGGACTCAGAAAAAATGTAGAATTGGAGAAATAGAAAACAGAGAAAACGTAGAATATATGCAGATGGAAAATAATCACATGAAAGCTGCTTACCATCGTTTGTCATTAGGAATTTGAAAATCAAAACAATGAGACACCATTATATCCCTATTAGAATAGTTGAAGTCTAAAAGCTTACAACCAAATTCTGATGACGCATGGACCAATAATAATTCTTGCTCATTGATGGTAAGGATGCAAATGAGTACAGCCACTTTGGAACACAGTTTGGCAGTTTCTTGCAAAGCTAAATATAGTTTTATCTGATAATTCAGAAATTATGCTACTAGGTAGTCACCTAACTGATTTGAAAATTTATGTCTACATGGAAACCTGAATAATATTTATAGGAATCATAATCATCCCAAATTGGAAGAACCAAGATACCTTTCAAGAGATGAATGGATAATACTGTAGTATATACATCCATATAATGATTTCTTCCTTGCTGATTTGGATGCCTTTTTTTCTTTTTGTTGTCTGTACATCCATACAATAAAAGTTATAAAAAGAAATGAGTCATCAAGCCACATAAAGACATGGACGAATTGTAAATACATATTGTTAAGTGAAAGAAAACAGTCTTAAGAGACTGTGTACTCTATGATTCCAAGTATGTGATATTTGGCAAAGATAAAACTATAGAGATGATTAAAATATCAGTATTTGCCAGGGTGCAGAGGGCACAGGGTTTGAACTTGTGAAGCACAGGGTATCTTTTAGGATGCTGAAACTATTTTGTTTGAAACTCTAATGGTGGCTACATGACACTACACATTTGTCAAAACCCGAAGATCTTTACATCATATCAGTGAATCTTAATGTATACAAATTAAAAAAAAATCACTTAAGAGGCCAGGAGATCCATGGACGGAATGCAGAAAGTGCCAAAAGAGTTCAACTGTTTTACGGATGTACAAATCATTTTCACTGAAATATACGGAGAAAAGATGGTGAACTAAGTAACTTTGGAAACAAATGGAGTGTGTAAGACAAAAGACAAAAGCAGGTGTACATAAGTACCGTACTCTAGTTGATATAGTTGTGTCTTACGAGGGTAAGGTCAACAATCCCGAAACCGATATACGTATATGCTGGAATTGAATAATTAGTTACATGGATGGCAGATAATGGCAGCTAGGTTTCTCATTGTTTTAATGAGAGATTACAGCTAAGCAATGAGAAAAGGCTAGAATGATCCATGTGGTAATGCTTTAGAGTTAGAGATATCATACGAACTCACGTTTGGCTTACTATAGATACTATAGATAGATTTTTTTTTTATGGAGATTTTTTTTTTCTTTATTGAGAAACTTAAGACTTGGGTTCATCAAATAAAACCAATTTCTGGGGGAAAAAAATCAAAACCCACAATAGAAAAAAAAGTTAACACTGGGCCATAGCAGAACCCAGAGAATATATTCTTTTAATTGAAAAATTCTAGGTGCTTCATAATTGACCTTTTGATACAAAATGACCTATTAAATTTCCAGTTTGTGGTTCTGGGTGTTCAGGTCCATAGGACACGCTAGAAATCTTCAAACCTTGAACTGAATTCCAGTAAGGGTTATTTGGCTTTTGAATCGGTTTTTCCTTGGCTAAGAGGTAGCAGCGGCAACAGCGCCCACCTTCTGGGCAGCTTCTTTCTTGGCATGATGAGCCTGCAGAACCGCCACAGCTTCATCCACCTTGGAGCGGAGCGACTCGGAGGACTCGAGCATGTGCAGCAGCTCAGAGTTGTCGATCTCCAGCAGCATGCCCGTGATTTTCCCAGCCAGGTTTGAATGCATGGTTTGGATGAGCGGGAACAAACGTTCTCCCAGCATCTGCTTCTGCTCCTGGGCGGGGGGGCGGGGGGGCGGTGCTGCGACCAGCATGGAGGCGGTCAGGGGCTCCTGCCCCTGCACGTGGACCGCAGGCTGCGGCGCCTGCAAGGGCTGGATGGCAGGGTGAGGGCTGCGGACACTGGAGGCGTATTTGTAAGGTGCGACAGCCCGAGGGGCAGTAGCAGCGACAGCAGCATGAGGTGCTAAGGTCTGCACGGCTGGGGGAACACCTCCAGCCTGGCAGCTGTCAGTCAGCCCTTGCCGGGCGGCGCCAGCCCCACCAAAGTCCACAGCCAAGCGGTCCGGGCACTCAGACCCGACTCTCTGAGCCGTAGTAGGGAGGCCGCGAGAGGCCGGAGCATTACCAGTTGGAGCCAGATGGCGAAGAGCGGGACGGGGCCCAGACTGGCGTATAGCACTTGGCATTCCTTGGAAACCTTGAGGTCTCCCACCTTGCTGCCAGCAAAAGAGAAATATTTATAGATATTTGTATAAACATGGGTTAGTATACACAAATATTTATTCCCTTGCTTTGTTAACTCAGAGGAACTAGAGGCAATAACACCTCAATATTAATATGCACCTAACACCCACTTCTTGTTTTCTAATGTGTATCTCCAGTATAAGGACCTGGGGATTTTTGAGGAATGGCTGATTCTAGGACTAGTACAGAAAATATAAATATTGAACCTTGATTATACTGTAGCAAAAGAAAGTAAGGAAATAGTCTAAAACAACACCAAGAAAGGACAACAACAAGAAAGGACCCATTTGATGGGTGTATATCCAAGGGTATGTGCTGTAGGATGCAGCAGAAAGAGTATCCAAAGGCAAATTTGGTGCCATTTCAGCAACAAAGTTAAGTAGGAATGAATTATAACCTGCAATATAAAATAAATATCCACGAGTCCATATGATACAAATAAATGATTGAGTTAATAAATAAATGGAGAATAACCAAAATTCTTAAGCAGAAGAATTTCAAATAATTTTTGTGCTTACTCTGCCCTTAAGTGGAGCATAACTGCCCACTTTTTAAATGTGGCCTGTGCATAGTGACTTCATTTCAGAGAATAGAGTATATAAAGGGAAAAGAGGAAGACTTTTACAGTGGAGAAACCTGACAAACACTACCTCAGCTAGGTAATCAAGATTAATATCAACAGTAATAAATCATGCTGATAGTATGTACTCTTGATATGATGTTATGAAAATGGCACTTTACCTCTGTGTTCTTTCTCCCTCAAACACAAAATCCCTGTGTAATCATGAGGAAAAGATCAGATGAATCCTCATTTAGGGGTGGTTCTACAAAATAACCGACCAGTACTTTTCAAAATGTCTAGGTCATCACAAACAAGTAAAGTCTGAGGAACCTAAGAAGACATATCTTCCAAATGTAATTTAGTATCCAGGATGGGATATCCTGGAACATTAGGTAAAATATAAGGAATCAAACTTTGGTTAATAATGTATCAATTTTGGTTCATTAATTGTAACAAATGTGTCATACTAATGTACTATGCTAATAATAGGGAAAATAGGGTGTGGATTGTATGGGAACTCTGTACCGCCTTTGCAGTTTTTCTGTAAATCTTAAACAGTTCTAAAATAAAACATTTATATATCATAAAAGAATACAAGAGACTTTCACTTAGTAAATCTTTATTGAGCTAATGATTAGCAGCTGCCTAGTGGACTGAGCTGACAGGTATTCTGAGATCCAGTTGAAGATCATCAAAGTGTCTCTACAGATTAAAACTGTTTGTTAATATTTTTGGTGGGATGTGAGGTGTCAGAAGGCAGGATTAGGTGGGGAATGCCATGCATTTACATCTGATAATAAAATCCCCTCAATTCATACACGAAGTAATTGAGGCCCATGGGAGCCATAGGTACCAAAACTAAGAGAATTCCTAATATAGGTCAGATGTGTTGAAGTTGCAGGTTTTGTCCTAGGTTGTACCCTTACTCCAGTTTACTGGTTGAGTCACCTTGCACAAGGTCTCTACAAGTGTTGACCCTTGTTACACAGTAGTAAAGTACTAGGTACTGAGTTCTGGGCACTGTTCTAAACACTTCATTATGTATTGACTCATTTTATGCATACACACACACAAGGAAGATTTATGAGGCCAATTCTATTATTTTCCCTATTTTACAAAGAGGTTAAATAACTTGTCCTAGATCACCAAGTGAGCAAATGTCAGAGCCAGCAGTCAAATCTTAGTAGTCTGGGGCCAGTGTCTATGTCCATAATATATTTTTGTCTTTATATGAAGACAAAACAGCACAATCATCAGTCTCTGGCTGTTTGGGTAGAACTGAAACTCTTGCCTCTTTTTTTTCCCCAGCTCTATTGAGATATAATTGACAAAATATTGTGTAAGTTTAAGGTGTACAATGTGTTGATTTGATACATATATATTGCACTGTGATTACCACTGTAGTGTTAGCTACTATCTCCATCATGTCACATGGTTATCATTTCTTTTTCTGGGGTGAGAACATTTAAGATTTACTCTCTTAGCAACTTTCAAGTAAATAGTATGGTATTGTTAAGTATAATCATAATGCTGTTCATTATATGCTCAGAACTTACCCATCTTCTAACTGGAAGTTTGTACTCTGACAAACGTCTTTCCATCTCTCCCACCCCCCAGCCCCTGGGCACCACCATTGTATTCTCTATGAGTTCAAGTATTTTAGATTTCACATATGAGTGAGTTCATACAGTATATGTCTTTCTCTGTTTGACTTATTTCACTTAGCTTAATACCCTCGAGGTCCACTGTCTCATATCTGTCAGAATGGTTATTATCAAAAAAACAAGAAATAAAAAGTGTTGGCAAGGATGTGGAGAAAAGGGAACTCCTATGTACTGTTGGTGGGAATGTAAATTGCATTAGCCACTCTGGAAAAAAGTATGGAAGTTCTTCAAAAAATTAAAAAATAGAACTACCAAATGATCCAGCAATCCCACTTCTGGGTATTTATCCAAAGGAAATGAAAACAAGACATCAAAGCGATTATCTGTACTCTCACGTTCACTGCAGCATTTCTTTTCTTTTCTTTTATTATTATTTTTTATGTTATGTTAATCACCATACATTACATCATTAGTTTTTGATGTAGTGTTCCACGATTCATTGGTTGCTATAACACCCAGTGCTCCATGCAGTACGTGCCCTCTTTAATACCCATCACCAGGCTAACCCATCCCCCCACCCCCTCCCCTCTAGAACCCTCAGTTTGTTTCCCCGAGCCCATAGTCTCTCTTGGTTTGTCTCCCCCTCTGATTTTCCCCCCTCCATTTTTCCCTTCCTTTTCCTAATGTCCTCCATGCTATTCCTTATGTTCCACAAATAAGTGAAACCATATGATAATTGACTTTCTCTGCCTAGATGCCCTACAATAGGTGAATGGATAAAGACAATGTGGTCCATATATACAATGGAATATCACTGCAGCATTATTCACAGTAGCCAAGATACAAAAACAACCTAAATGTCCATCAAAGTATGACTGGATAAAGAAGATGTGAGATACATGTATTTACTGGCATTTAACTCCTATGGTCTCTACTTATCACCATCTTAGTGAAGGTGTCAGCCTGAAACCTTTCACTATGTAGTAAAAGAATGTGCCCAAATTCACACTGCTAATATGTCAGACAGCAACAACTTAAACCAGTGTCTGCTTAATCATATAGGCCATGCTCTTAACTATTCTGTGGCAAGGTGACATTTCCCCAGTATCCAACCCTTATAAATGACACATGCAGTTTCGTTTATTAAAGACATGATAAAGATGCAATTTTTTGCATAAAACGCAATTTCCAGACTTGAATCTTTTAGGTTCTCTGCAATTATTTCAAAGAAAACTTGTTACTCTGCCTTCATTTTCTTTTTGCTATTTGGGAATTCATTACTCTGGATAGTGTTAAAAATTGCTCCAGTAATAATAGTTTGGATTTGCTATTCATATTGTGTTCAAGTATTAACTTATCTACACAAAATATCTACTGTTTACAAAACATATGGATGCCAACGTTTTTTATATTATCACAGAAAATAAACAAAGGTACTTGAGCAATCTCTATTTTATGTTGGGGTTAGCCTTTCAGTGTTCAACAGTACTGTGTGCTTCTTTTAAAATGATTTACTTATCAATATATTATGAAACAGAAGCCTTTACCATTGTCTCTAGTTGCAATATTACTGAATACTCATGTTTACCTTCTGAAGCATTTTCCTTAGAATAGAAATACAAAACATTAGTGCAGGCTTTGTTAAATTTGCCACTTCTCTGATACATGAAAAGTACTTGAGTTGAGGACAGCATTTCAATGGTACTGAAAACCCTGAGGCTCTTCAAGCAAATAAAGACTTTTTGTCCTTCTCATCTCTATTAGACTAGCAAATTGAATCAAAACTCTTTGACAGTGCTAAATTTTCAGATTTTTCCCCAAGACTACCTTTGCCTTCTCAGCTAGGGCAACTTGAATGTATGGGTCAAATTTATGTTGTTTTTTAAATATATATACAAAAGGTATGTATTTGCATTTATATATATGTAATTGTAAGCATATATGCCTTTACTCTGTAGTATACACAATATGTGCGTCTTACTGTTATAATGAGAACTAACATATCAGTGAACAGAGGTGAAGGAGAAAACGAAAACATTATGCAGTAACCAAATCAATTAGACATACATGTCTGAACAAAAAATAAAATTCTGTTTTAGATGGATCTCTCTGATGCTTGCTTGAGAAATGTTTAATTTTTTTTTTACATTTTATAAATTTGTGTTTGATTTTGAATTTTTTTCCTTCACATATAAAAACCTCCTTCATTGTGCCCCTTCAGTTAAAACATGCCATAATAATAGTCCAGGCTTATCATTTTTCCTCTTCTACTTTCCATTATTGCTAGCAGCACGACAGCTCTCCTATCACCCAGGGTTACAACCTTGAGTCCATCTTTGATTATCTCTCTTTCTACCTTGTGTCTAGGACCTTTCTATGTCCTGCCATTTCTTTCTTTTATAATGTTTGAAAAGCTAGTTTCTTCTTTTTTGGTTTCCACCACCAAGACCCCAATCTACTTTCTTTTATTTTCTTTTATTTCTGCTCCAACTATTGCAATCTTCCACATTCTTGCCTCCATATCTTTCTTCTTCCATCTCAACTACTAGGTTGCTGTAAAGTCCAAGTATCTATTGGCACGTCTAAACCAGAGGAAAGAAAATGGCTTAACTTCAAAATGAATGTATTGAAAAGCAGAAACCACTGTTTGTTAAAGGTACAAACGATTATCAACATTTCAAAAAGTGCATCCCATGGAACTTTTAGTCTTTCAAGATCTTACACACACACACACACACACACACACACACCTGTGCTCAAATAATCTTGGGAAATACTGCATACAATGTCTTCTCTTAAAGACTCAAATTCACACCGGCTTACTCAAAGTTATGGGAAGTCCTGTAGGAACATGAATCTTTTTTTAACATTTTTAGGACAATATTTCTTAAATTCTTTGGACATATAATCACTCCTACTCTTTTTAAATTTTTTTTTTTTTTTTTTAGTATAACACGGAGGGCACATTTTGGGAAGTGATTCTATGCTATCACCTCCCTCTATTTACAGTTTCCCTTAAAAAGAAGAGCAAAGTCTGGGATTGCCTTAATTTAAAAAATGTAGAGATTCCAGTGAACCATAACCACCATTCCAGAAACCCAAAGAAAGCCTCACCTCCTAGGAACAGCTTTGTCAGTGACTTATTTCCCCTGATGGAAAGATTTATACAGATGATTTATACCAGAAGTGGCTAATTTGGAAGCATTTTCACTGCTGTCTTCATGGAAATCTTTCTCAATTGTGCTAAAGCAAGAAGGGATATTTCCCACCTTCAGGCTTCACTGTCAAGCTTTCTTCCATCTTCCTGCAGTCTATATGAAGAAATGAGGCAACAAACAACAAAAACGGCTTTATATACCAAAAGCTTAATGTCTTGTCATCTTTTTATGTAAATTCCTGTCAGTCTGGGACAGTGTTTACTATGCAGTCTACAGTTCACTGTTTGCCGTATAAGCTTAATGAATTTGCCACTGATCAATCAGTGTGTCACAAACGCTTGATGGGCCTCACTGTGTGGGAAGTGTAGCTCTCAGCCACATTATCTGACAAAAGTGTCTATATAAGCAGTCATCCTGAAGTGCTGATTCTGTTATTTGATTTGGGATTAAACAGTCTGTTGCAAGCCATCTGCTTTCCTATGCACGCGTCCTTGAGAGGTTAGATTTCTACTGATGTTGCCCCATAACTCTAACTGGTATTTGAAAGATCAGAATTCACTTAGACATATGCCACTGAAATTGCTGGTCTTGTCCTACAGGACTGTCCAGATTTTGATGTGGGGGTCCGAATCAGGAAAAAGTGTACTTTTCTCACACTGTTGCTGAGTCAGAATCCTGCTGCATTTGGCCATGTGCCCTGAGACCGGAGAGTACTTGCCTGACAAAGTTTTACAACAGTTCACGCTCCTGAGGGTATGAAAGTGTGTGCTGGCTGTTCAAGCCTTATCTCCTGATGACTCCCAAAGAACGTACTTCTCTGGCCTATGCCTGATTACTCTGCAGAAACTCCTGTGGTTTCTGCTATCTCAGCAACTTCTGGAATACCCTACTGAAAACGTGCGTATGTAGTAAGTACAAGTCTCTGCCTTCGTATTTGAAATAGAAAATGGTTGTGGTTCAATTCTAGGCAACCCAATCAAATAAAAACCTACTTCATTAATAATGTGACTATTCTTGAAGTAGATTTTGTGTGGGCCTTTATGCATAGAAATAACTTTATTTTTCTTTGGATGTGTATGTGTCATTGTATGCTGAAGCGGATACTTCTGGAAGTTCCCAGATGTGTACCCCACGAATATTGCTTTGGTTTGGGATCTGGACCCCACTTCTTATCTACTCCAATCAAATATAAGAAATAGCCAGAAGGCAAAAGGTAAAGGAGAGGACAATGTGGGCCACAAAATAACTGGTTATACTTATTTATTCATTTATTTTACTGTTTTTATTTCTCTATATTACCACTGTACTGGTTTCCCTCCAGAACCAGTAGAAACTGAAAAAAAAAAAGGAAATGGAGACTATAGTCTAATGAGAATATATGAATGGATGAAACTATGAACCAATGAATATTTGAGCACAAATTTGATGACTGGTGCTGTGTTAGGTACTGACATAAAAGGGTGACCAATCTGAGTATGATCTGAGATTGGGGCAAATGCCCACAAGTACATAGGGAACTACAGTGTGGAAAATGCTGTGATTAGGAAGGTATAGCATTCTATGGAAACTCACAGGAGAGATCCTTAACTCATTCCTGGAAAATTCTATAACATTTAGATGGCTTTTAAGTAAGGGAATGGGAAAAACCTTGTAAGGGGAAGATGAAATATTTGTAATCACAATGACCTTAGTTATAGGATTAAGTCTAGAAAAGAAGCATTTTGCCAAATAGTCTTTCTATACCTTTTAAAAAACTGCGGTTGTAAGTATTGTTAGGTTGCTCAATGATTTAGGTAAGAAAAACCATGAGATAAAGTCCACTTGAATTTTAGGAAAAAA